AACAAATTTTTAAATCTACGTAAGAAAGCCAAGAGTCAAAGACGACTAGATGATAGGAGCCGCATGGCCTAACTGCTGCCACTTTAATTAATTATATAAATAATTAATTATAACTTTATTACTACTTAATTAAACTCGATACAGATGAGAAAATATGTCATGCCACTTTTCAAACTAAACTTTCTAGATGCAGAGACGAATCAGTAGGTATAGAGGAACTATTAAAACAAAAAAAAAACTTCTCCTTTGATTGGGAATGATTGATTCGCGCTATAGATTCGAATATTTCCAATTGTCCAGTCTCCAGAAAATCGCACGAGATATATACGCGTGTAAGATGCCTCGTTATAAACCAGCACGACCGAGAATCATCTATCAATTGGCGTTTTAAATTACACAGGCACGTGATTATCCTCGAAGAGATAAAAAAATTCATTTTCTTAACGAGTAAACAAGTTCTATCGGCGACACGCATCATTATGAATCTATCAGGAAACAAAGGAATATGCACGTTACGAGTAACATCACGAAGAAAAGATATTGTACAAAAAATGTTTTGCGTTTTTTACGAGATGCGACACCTTCGATCTTGACGTCATGTTGGTGTATCACGGGTCATCCTGTAGGACGTTTGTATCACGATGTCGAAAAGGTCGAAACGATCGGATATCGGTGCCTAGCTCATGTTCTACTCACTGTTCCTTGATTAAGACGGTCACTTTGTACCTGCTTGCTGCCTGCCTGGCCCGTGCGTTACATAAACATATTTCTAGTCTTATCGAGGTATCAACCCTCTGTATTTTACTCGATAATAACGTCCAAGCATGTCGCGTACTTTCGTTGTGATAATCCGGCGGCGTGGCGTTGTTTCGACGTTCCGCGCTGTCTATGCGGTTTTTCTATACGGATATCGAGGAAGCGTAACGCCGATTAATTAATTTGTTAAATCCCATTCGATTTCGCAAAGAGCGACTATCCCGGAAGGTTGATGGTTTCGACAGCTGTTTCGACATCTACATCCAGCCGACGTTTACTCACGTTCGAAAATTCACGAAAGCTGATTTTCTTGGATACTTATCATTTGCCGTGGAACGATGGCAGTAAAGGTTTCTTGAACGAATATCGATCGTCGACACACGTGGTCAAACACGGTTTCAAGGGGATCTGTCTGATCGCGTGAATTTTGGAACGATGGCTGCAATAATTTAAACAAGTTCGTGCTACTTTTAGTGGAAACGAATAATGGTAAAGGCTCCATCTCTTGTAATATTTTTATTATCGCAAACGTAATATTACATTATTAAATTATATTAAATAAAGGATTACGCCACTGTTTATTATTTATTGACTAACGTTCAACTAATATTGTAAATAATAACGAAAATATTTTATCTATATTTCCGATCCGGGGGTGTTGGGCGGGGCAGCGTATTCCCTCTTGTCCGCCCTTATGGCGATCCTATGATCGCCGTTCGCCCGCCCCCTATTGTTACACCATTTCATCATTGCATTTAATAAATTATATATTTATTGACTCACTTACCTTTTGACTTACCCCCGCTTATTTGTCTATTCTAGCTCTAGGCAGTCGTCCAAGACACAAGCTACCGAATCCTCTTAATTTCCACGGTTGGCTTTTTAAGATCGAGATTACCAATGGATTGACAGAAGGTGAGACAGGTGACTTCTTTCTTTTGCCTTTTTTCTTTTTTTGTTTTTTGATGTTTTTCAAATGGAAGTTTTTCAGCGGACAGAACAAAACAAGACACGTCCTTTTTTCTCGTTTCTCTTTTATTACTTCCGCAACAATTTATTTGAAGCATACAAACGGTACAAACTGTATTGTTGTCACTTTGAGTATAAATTAAATTAAGTTACGCGGATATGATGTGCGTACGAGGAAGATGGTAGAATGAGAGAAAGAGGGTAAGACGAGAGAGAAGAACAGACAAAATGATTTTTTTTTCTCCTTTTCTTTTTTCATTCTTCAAGCTAAACTCCGTAAATTGGCCGACGTCCAAGAGTTTCATTTCGGTTCCATCGTCGATTCGTCTCGGCCACAGACGTATTCGCATCGAAGCCATACATTGAAATGGAATACGAAATTTCCAACCCAATCGTTTCAATATATTATCTCTCGAAAGAAAGATCGAAGCTTCCATGGTCTTTGTGTCAAAGGGCTTCCCCGTAAGATGATTAGCTCAGCACAACACAGCTACATGTTAATTTCTAACGCAAGCAAGCAGTTAACGCGACGTCTCATTCATTCATCGTCGAAGCGTGCTTTTCGTTCTTTCCACGCGATATTCGTCGACCTTTGGAAACCCTTCTGATCAAAAGTACGGACCACAGTGTTGCTCGTCCTAATTATACGACCAAAAATCCAAAGTACCATGAAAAATACCGTTTAGAATACCGAATTTCTTTTCTTAAAATAGCCCTCCTTTGCGATCGTTCGACGTCCTTGGTCGACGAATCACAGAAGAAATAAGAGAGAACACAACGAAACGAAACGAAATCAGAACACTTGAACGCGGTGATTCTCGCGATCGCATACGACGATGTTACCGGTCGATGTGACAGCAACACCCTCTAGACCCTTGAATTCACCGTCACCGCTGCCCCATCCGCCGAAAGACTTGAGGAACGCCCCCTCTGGGCTGAATATTTGTATCCGGTTGTTACCGGAGTCGGCGACGACGATGTAGCCCTGATCGTCAACAGCGACACCCCTTGGGAACTTGAACTGACCTTCGTCGGAACCTTCGGATCCGAAGGAGGTCAGCACGTGGCCGTTCACGTCGAATATCTGGATACGATGATTGTTGCCGTCGCTGACGATCACGCGGTTCGTGTTGCTCACCGCGATATAGTGAGGATGTTCCAATTGGCCACGTCCGCTTCCGCAGGAACCGAATTTGCCCACGAACGTACCGTCTGACTGAAATACCTGCGAAAACATATACTGTTACAGCGATTGTACAAATGATACAATTCAGCATACAGACGCTTTCGTTACACAGAGATTATTTGCTTTATATTAGAAATTTGATTATAGTTTCTGGATTATTTTTTCCTACACGACACGCTACCACAAGATATCTTGCACACACCAATTAGCGGATAATCGACCTTTGTACACAAACCTACGAGGTTGGAAATCGCAAAGGGTATCAGTCGAGGGATTACGTGTTTAGTATTCTCGCTGTAAAATAACTCACGTTTCGTCCATTGTTGAACGCCGTGTGTCTCAAGTAAGCATCATTTTCCCTTCGTACTAATGCTTTTTTTTTTAATTTTTTTTATAGAAGAACTGTGATCGTTCACCCGTAGCTGCTCTCACGTTTCTCATTTCCATGAGTTCGGGGGGTTCAAACAGAGAATTACTCGAAATTAATGTTTTTTTATTTCAGAAAAAATCTTTTTTTTTTGAAGGCTTTTTATTCAGGATTAACTATACAAAGTCTAGGTACACATAGTGAGGGCTTGAAAAGGGTTAATGAACACTGAAACTAACATCATATTTGTATCATTATCGTATGTTCACAATACAATATAGGTAAAGAAGTCTCACATAGTGTGATATCTTTCAGGGTCTCGTGTATGTTGTCGCATTGACGCTGCCGTTTTAGGCCTTGCACTTTTCTCATACGATTCTCCGAACAGTTTATAACAGAAAGAAAAATAAATAACAAAATCGCGAACACACGTACCTGTACGCGATGGTTCTCTTTATCGCACACATAAATAAATCCAAGAACATCCGTGGTGATTCCCCAAGGATAATTAAACCGACCATCGGCGGTCCCTTGGGATCCAAAAGCTCTCAGAAAACGACCGGAAGGATCGAGAACTTGAATTCTGTGGTTGTAACGATCCGCGATGATATATTGTCCGATCCTGTTAACCGCCACCCCGGCGAGGCAATCGAATTCACCCTCGCCACTGCCATATGTTCCGAACTCCTTCATGAAGTTCCCATTACCGTCGAATACCTGTAAATTTCAACGCCATATTTCAATACATCGATCAATCTTCCTTCGTTTTTATATCGTCAGAAAGCTTTCGCTGGCATTGACGATGACGTTGTTTTAAAGAACAGTACGTGTTATTAGATCGCGTAATAAATTTTATTCGCCCTTTGATTTGGTCGTTTTGAAGAACATGTACTTTACGAATTTATCACGGAATATGAGAAATCTCTAAGGTATTTTTGAGGATGAATTACTTGAACACGATGGTTAGAGCTGTCGGCTACGACGATGGAATTGTCAGGGCCAACCGCGAGGCCTCTCGGCCAGGTAAAGCATCCGGCTTCGCTCCCCCGCATCCCGAACTTGAACAGCTGCCGCCGCTTCAGCAAGTAGTGACTCCTCCGGCCATTGCTGTCAAATTCCAACAACCATTTCCTTATATGAAAATTTCATATTGCTTATTCACATGTGTTTAAACAAGCCTGTCACGAACCAAACCGGTCAACTTTGCATTTTGTTGCAATTTTTCAGTTTCGTTATATAAGTACTGCATTAGAATTGAAAAGATAACTAGCGGATTGGCACAGGGGTAAAGAATGTGCTAACTCTCTATCGTTCTCCCTTACGCGTTTCTATATTGTTTTATTTGAATATGTGACACTTTTGGCCAATACGCGTGTTTATTTTCATATATGTCGGATCTGTTCGAAATGACTGGATCGAACCCGCATTCCTTACGTTGGTCTTCCTCTCAGCTGCAAAGTAAACGCGATTAACGTTCCGTTCTCAAGGAACGATCGATTTAATTTTATTTATTTATTGAAGAAGTAAATTTATTGAAGAAGTAAATTTAAAAATAATATTTGCAACATGATCACTTGTTTTATCTTTCAATTTACCAAGTTGATCAATGTGGCTTGTGACAGGCTCAAATGATAAATAGACTCACCTAGTGGAGGAACCTGCTGCCGCGGGTATAACGGGAGCTGCTGTAGGGGACGTGGGGGAGCCTGACGGGTTTTTTTGATCGTCGTCAGAAGATTCGAAGGATGTTTGACCACCGTGCCTCAAAGGTAGTCCCAGCGATAATCTCCTCGAGGTAGTGCTTCCACTGCAAATAAAATTAAAAGAACAGCTCTTTCGTGTCTTGAGAAAGGGAAATTCCTTTATCATTGATCGAAGCAATTTAATCGTTTCAGCCTCTGTAGGCAATCTGAATCGTTTATGCCGCGAGTATGAAACTTCATTAGCACATTTGTATCTTCCCAGAAAAATTTTTCGAACGTTTGATTTAAAAGCTGATGGCATTGAGTTGTTCGGAAAATTCGTAACGAAACTTGAAAGAATCAAAGGTAATTCATTTCCATACAGAATCAATTTCACCGAATAGTACATAACATATTAATTTATCAAATACTTTCACCAATTTCTCTTTGAAAATCTGTTCGTTTTTTTTTTATCAAAAAAGCTACGAGCTCTTCAATCAACCTAATATAACATAATAATTCATTTTTACGACACGTTTCAATGTGTTTCAATTCCATATTTCACTATTCCAATACATTTTTACAAAGATCGCAAAAGCTTTATATGCTTTTTGACAAGCTAGAACAGTAAAAATATTAGATACGAACATAAACAACCCGGTTTGACCACAAAAGCCGTGAAAACACTCAACGTTAGTACCGTACCTCGATGATGGAATCGTCGAGGCGGAGGACGAGGGCTCCTTGTCTTTGGTGGTGCGATTCCCGTATTTGTTCTTCAAGTATCGTGCCCACGAACTCAAAGCTGCGCCATCCTTCTCTGTGCCAACCCTATCACGCTCCGGACTCGGTTCTCTCGACTTTAAGGCGTGAGTACTCCGACTTCTGGCCAGTTCAGATCCGGCTCCGTACTTGGCAGCCAAGTAAGCGTTCGGCGACTGGGTCGTCGGAGAGGGTGGCTCTTCGTCGAGGTCGAGGTCATCTCCGCCGAAGTTGTGCGAGCTTCTGGACCGAGCCAGCCGTTGTCTTCTCTCTTTCAACGCGGCGTACCGTGACCTCGTCGACAACGGCGAATCGACCTCCGTGTCCGCGTCTCGTTCGCGTTCTCTCTCCCGTTCTCTTTCCCTTTCGCGTTCTCGTTCGCGTTCTCGTTCTCTTTCGCGCTCCCGTTCTCGTTCCCGGCTCGCCATCATCGCCGCCTGGCTTCTGCTCTTGTTCAGGAACCTGAAACATTGCGGAACGAAGGTTGGCTCGTTCAGATCGAACTTGTTAATCGAGAAGCCTGTTGTTACTCGGTGGATTAAAATGGGGCAAAACATCGATTGGCCATCGATAAGTGTCTATGTCAAAGGTTATCGATCCATTGGGAACATATACAGTGGCTCGCGATAGTATTCGAACACCTGCAGAAATCTCTTGTGAATGACAGTGACAGAAGTACTTTCGTACAGTAAGGAACGTTTCCTGTATTGTTAAATATATCCAAGTATGTGTAACTGTACAGTGTGCAGAGACACGTGTAACGTGAAATGGACGTAAACTACAGGTAGTTAGATTTATCAGTTTAAAGTTTCTCACTGTATACTATTATGTTGTAGAAAACATTTGGAAATTTCAAAGTCGCTTGGTTATGATTATGATTATGAGTATGATTATATTGGTAGGGTTTGAAACTAATCCGAAAATGTACATAGAAGCTGCAACATAGTTGTAATAATGTGAGCATATGTAGGTCCAAAACGCAGAAGTTTCCCGATATTCTACGTTTTTACTGATTTTTAATTCCTCTGTTAACAATTGTCAAAATTTTGACGTAAGATACTTATGCGACGTAATGATATCCTTCGAGGAAAATGTAAAATACGAAACGACATTATTTACAAAACTCACGAACCTCATAATTTTTTACTGAATCCCTGTATGTTCGTAGCAAATATCTTGCAACTTCTATTTACATTTTTACATTGGTTTCAAATATGACAAATACAATCGTGACACTCGCGTGTCATTGCAGTGGAAGTGAAATTTCAAAATGTTCCATACAACATATAGAGTGTGTACATAAAAGTTTGCTACGCTAAATGTTCAAATACTTTCGTGAGCCACCGTACGAGTTACAAGCGACCGATTCCGTACTTCGTCCAGTTCACGGATATTCGCGCAGACATCAACAGCTTCTTTGGTTATTTGAAGAGCAGAAAACTGAAGCTTGAGTCGTCCAAGTGTTGGAGCTGTTAACTTGCAGTTATAGCTATATATTTAGTAACACGTACGTCAGAATGAAATATGTTTGATGGATGATGCAGTTCGTGACGTGTTTCGTCCCTTGGAACCGAGTGTCGCGATCTCGAAGCGATAGTTTCGCATTCTGCCAGCTTATCTTCTAATCATGCTGGTATTCATTGATAACCATACGTACGTCCTATTCTCGTGATATATCGCGTTACATTTTCTCACTATTATATCAGTCCAAGTGTTAGTTACCATTCTATCGTGGGATCCATGGCAATTAGTCACAACGTGGTATAAATCTGACGTGTAATCAGCCGTGTATCCATGGTGTACAGAGTAGTGAAAACGGATGCATATCTGCTGTGTTATATATCAATCTGTAGCACGCTATTTGATATGTCAGTTCTTTATCATATCCCTCATAAATTGTGTAAAGTGACGAGTAAACAAGAACCATGTATCGTCGGAAGCAATTTTATTCCGGAGGAAGTAGACCTTTTCCTTTCAATTATCGATTTCCTTTTTCTTTTCTTTTTTTTTTTTTGATCATCCGATAAAATTCGCCGTTACATTCCAATTCGAGATCAAACGATTAATTCGCGTGTTTTTAGCAGTAACAGAATGAAAGAGTCGAGCTACGAGTGCCGAATGCGTGCAACAAGGAATTTCTAATTTCCTGTTAATTGGATACTCGTTCGTTGCATCTGCTATTTTAATTTATAGAAGCATTTATTTTCCATTTGAATTATTTTTCATCTAACACGTGTTTCTCCGAGACACGTTCTTTTTCGATCAGCTCTTGGCCACGATAAACATTCCTCTTTTGATATATACGTGGTAAATATGTATGACAGAGAAGTTACCGCAAACAGTAATCGTAAAATTTTAAGACCACTTCTAACCTACATTTTTCTGCTTTCCTCGTGCAAACTTTGAACAGCGCCGATGTTTCAGTCGCCATCGAATTTTCGAACGTTCTGGTTCATCGTGTTTTCGGGCCAGAGAAAATGTTTCAACCAGCTCGTAACGTTCAAACACCTTAAACGCTACATCTCGGTGGTTCGGCAGTTTCCACGACGTTTTTTTTTTGTACCGTTCGCTTTAAAATCTCGAGATGATTCTCGAGCTACCGCGTTTAGTGAACGCCAAACGCTAAAACGTATTGGAATAACATCCGTGTTTCCAGTCAAGTAGACTACAGACCGATATAGATCCACTGACTATCCGAGCTGTAGGATATTTAAAGTAACAAACGGGTTATATTTAAACCCTTTACGGCATACCTCTGCACTTTCCGTATCGTGCATAATGCGGTCACATTAGTTTCTTACGTAATATTTCGCGTGTTCTCGCGTTGACATTCGTGAATTTCGAATTCGATGTTACTTAATGGTCCATAAAGTTCATCGTTATTAGGCAAGCTCGAAAGGAAATCACTTAACCGCTTTGTAACCGCGAACGAGATATCGCACGATGAAATATTATTCATGTAGCGTCAAGGATGAAATATCTCACGCGTCTGTTTTTTCAATATTTATAGATAAAATCAAGTGAGCCTTTTTTTCCTACACGTATAACACGCCCTTCATTCAACGTTGCACATTTATTCATATTTCGTGAACAAATATTTTTATCAAAATATCGAAAATATTTTCCGTGACAGAGAATCAGGTTCATAAAAAAAAATTCAGAATATCGTTCTCCTACCAGAGTGTGATAAATACCATAGTTGTGAAAAGCTGCCACCTATCCGTCCAAGACGTTGATTCATCGATTTCTAATTTACAACTTAATAAAATTTTTAATCATTTTTCATCGTTACACGAACGACGCTATATCGCGAGATATCTGGCGCGTGATTGCAAACAGGTTAATCAGATTCGAAGAAGCGGTATCAGGTCCAAATTGTCGTTGTTAAATTATTAAAACCTTGATTAATCTATCTACGTTGCAAACGATAGCTTCGCTTGTTCGATAATTTGATTGGAACAAGCCTTGTATCGTTTTTTAAACCATCCAATACTAAGTTTTTCAATGTCGACAACGAACATGTATGATACCTTGATCGTAGCCTCTTACACGTGGATCGATTTTTACCTTCTCCTCGGAACTACATTTTCGTCGAGTAAGCTGTAAATTCGTGGTATGAGCGTGCGTGCATCTTGATGTGGTGCAACAGAGTTCGAGGGAGGTCTTAAATATAAAGGAAAGCTGAGCGCCTTCGTGGAAATTTCTCGCTAGGGGTTGGGGGCGGGGGATGGTGCGTGTAGACGAGTAACGAGAGGATTTCACATGATTCTGAGACGAGAACGTTCAATCTGTTAGTGCAATAAATAAAGATGCATTTTTCTTCTTCTTTTTTTATTCTCTACGCTTGTTACGTATTTTCTGAAGGAATGACAACAAAGTATACGAATAAGAAGAACGAACGACAAAGATACTTGGGAAACTGAGGTGACAAGAAACGATAAATACAATTTTATGAAAAAACAAGCAACAGAGACGCGTGAAAGATACGAGTAATAACAACGAACAGACAGTATAGAGATTTGCAGGCGGGATACGACATTTCTCTGTTTCGTTGTTCTGTTATATGCTTATCTAAACTGAGGACATGTTGACAGGGAAATAAATAATACGAGTTATCACAAAGAAATGCAGTTTATTTACCACACCAACAAACTGACGCAAGTCTATTCACTAGGAAAAAGAGTACAAAAAGTTTCAATGATATGAAAATGATCACGGGTTAACGGGAATGGCTTGTCACGCGTTAGGCTATGGTTACAGTGGATGCGTAGTCGGACGAATTGACGTTCCGACGAATTCGACACGTTAAATATGTATCAAATATATACAATGCACAGATTTTTATGGATATGTGCGTCGCAGTCGTTAGATGTTTCGTTCGTGAGAAAGCCAGTTCGTTGGAATACGTAACCACTGTAATCGTAATAGTCTTACGCGTCACATTTCGTCTCGCGACATGCCATTAGCGCGGCCGTGTTCTCAATGGGAACGATTTCAAAAGCGTTTATTTCAGCGTGGACTTAAGCTGCACTGTAGGAGGACGGTTTCTTTAACTGCGCTGAACTACGCTTAGTTTTTGCCGACTAGAGCGGTGTTTCTTAATTTTTCTTCCGCGTCTACGAAGCTACGTTTATTGAGCAATGCGGGGATTAATAGTCGCGGGTGATCAACGTAGGAACAAAAAGTTACACTTACGATCGTACGTACGATTATCACAATATATAAAATGCAAGTTTTTTTACCATACAATAAATACTCGATTGAGGTCTAATCGGTTATATTATGCATACTCTGTTCGTTCGTTTTTTATTTCGAATGTCTGTGATCCGACGTGAATGAATGGTCGATGATATCGATTGAAAGACGTTAGAAGACGCCAGATCCCGGGCAGCAGTTTCGCGAAAAGAGGCGACAAATAGCCAGCGTTCGAGTTCAGACGAAACACAGGTAAACGAATGGTTCGCCGAGCAAGAGTCCGAGGAATTCCATTCTTTCTACGTTCGACATCTTCCTTTGCGATCTCTGTTTCTCTTTTACGGTTTAAAACAAACGTTCCACGAGGCCGGCGTTCCTTCCTGCCGCGAAGGAAACACGAAGAACGAGAGGGAATCGAAGCGAACGAACGCAAGGATAAAAATAACGAACGAAGAAACTGCTGCGTCGTATCTTGCAATCGAGACAGTCTCGTCTGTATCCGTGAGAGTAGTCTTTGCAGTCTTTTACTACTAACACCGACGAACAACGACAAAAAGAAGGCGTGAACGTAAATACGGTGAGAAATGGGCAAAGAGGTGTATAGTAGACAGGTTACAGGAACAGATTGATTAGAACGCTGTAACACAGTACGGACACACAGAAAACGGTGGTTACCATTTGCATCGGTATAGTGATATCGACACCAGGCGTGTCCTCGTGCTCGTTGCAAGTCTCGGTCTCTTTGGATTGGGTAGCGTTCGCGACTAATGCACCGTTCTCAATGTTAGATCTCGCTACGAGGTCGGTCGTTTGGGAACGAATCGTGCTCGTCTCGTCCATGCTTCCGCCCTCGATATTTTTCCCCGTAGACGAGTTGTTCACCTTGTTTAGGATCACCCAACCGTTCTCGTCGACGCTGTCGGCCACGATCGAATCTTTGCCACTTTCAGATTTTTTCTCGTTCACCGTGGTCGACGTCGGTGTTGACGCGTCATCGTCATTCATTCTCTCATCCTCGATACTCGCTACATTCTTCGACGCCTCTGTCGTATCGGTCTCAGTTCGGATCGTAGAATTTTCCACGGGTGAAGTGGCTCTGTCAGATTCAGTCTCGGATTCGTCCGACACTAGCCAACCGTTCTTGCCAATGCTACTTTGTCTATACGCTCGACTTCTCGATAAACTTTCAGACGATTCGGATACGTTTAACGCGTTCTCGTTTTCAGTCCTTTCGTTATCCTCCTTGTCGATCGTATCGCTATCCAGAACGTTACTTTTCTCGTCGTTCGAGGATGATTCATTGTCGGTGTTTTCGTTGTTTATGCCCGAGTCATTGCGATCCATCGACTTGAAACCTTTCGTGATTCTCCGAGGTTTTTCTGCCTGCAGATCCTGATCAGTAATCACCCATCCGTTGTCGTCGAACAATTCCTCGATACTTTTGTCATCGAGTATCGAGGAGCTTCGCCGCTTCGTGCTTCTATCGTCGTATCGTTCCAGAACGGTGTAACTATTTTCGGAATGAGAGTTGGACGGTACGCTTAATACGGTAGTCTGGTCGTCGGTCTCCGAACTGTTCGATTCATCCTCACTGTTGGTATCGTTCAGGTGTTGGATATCCGAGGCTCGACCTTGCTCCGGGTTTTCAGTCTTTTTATTCATTATGTTACTATTCTCGTCTCTGGATTCTTTGTCCTCTTCCTCGTCTCTTTCAGAGTCGCTGTCAGTGGCGCTCTCCGTGCTGCTCTCGGATTCGCTCTCCGAACTCGATTCCACGTTGTTGGATTTATCGCTCGATCCATTCGCGTATTTCCTTCCGTCACCGTTGATGGCCGTCTCTCGCGAGGTTTCCAGAGATCCATTGGAACTCGCAGTCTTATCTGGCTGGTATCCATTATCTCGAATTGTAGCTGGTTGAACGAGCGACGCTCGTCGGTCGGTCCAAGCGGATAACGAAGAGTTCACGTCGTTCCCCGAACGACCTTCCATTAACGCGTCTTCGTTGACCTCGCTGCGGTTCTCTACTCGACTATCGTTACCGTTACCTTCGAGACTTTTGAATCTAGTGGCGGAGGAGGAGGAGGATGAGGTGATCGTTTCGTCGGTGTCCGTACTATCGTCCGGTATATAGGTTCGTTTGTTCGACTGCGGTTTAACCATCGATCCGTCTGCACCGACAATATCGTAATCCGCGTTCTTAGCCGCGATTTCGTAATCCTCGACACGATCGGTGTTTGACGGTTCATCGTGTTCGTCACTAAACGTCCTAAAACGATTACGGTCGTGGGGGTTATTGGAATTAGAACTGGCCTGATGATTCTGACCGTGATCTACGTGTGCTACGAACCTGCTGGTGTAGCCGGCCGGCGTTGTCGCGGCGCCGCCCGTCGGCGTC